AACCTTGGGACAAGCTTTTGACTATATATTATAAAGAGATAGCTAATAGTACAAAAACAAAGTCAAAAGCACATAAAACAATCATCTGGGTACTCAAGAGACAATCCCCTTGTAATCAAGAGATTTTCCCAAATATAAAACACCAAGATCATGCATATATATCCGACAATATTTCCAAGAGGAAAGTAACCTGTTGATGTGTGCTGTTGCTATTACTTGTCAAATTTAACTTCACTCACTAAGGATTAATCTTTTACAGTAGCTGCTGCTGAAGCCATGCTGTCACTTCTTTATTAATGGCTCCCATATCTCATTTCTATGCTAAACCTAAAAAGGAAGTCCTCAGACAGAAATTTTATTTTTCCAATAAGAAATACAAAAATTTTGTACTAAACTACTAGTTTTCGTGACTAAATATAATTTTAGTTATCTAAATCCAAAGATGCATGAGCATACTGTTTTATGCAAAACTTAATATTTCAGCCCAAATTCTAAAAAAAAAAAAAAAAAAAAAAAACTTGCAGACTAATTCTGAATTAAATTTTGGATTAGATAATTTTTACAGCCAAATCCCTGATCTAATAAATTGTAGAATACAGTGCCAATTTTCATTATTTTTTCTGATACTTAGACAAATCTTAAAAAGCAAAATCAAGAAAGTTGTTGGTATCCCATTTCATCATAATGACAAATACAACAGTATCAAATTTAATTTGAACCTGTCACATGTGTACTCGTAAGTAATGAAAATGTTTTTCTTTTATTTTTTATCATCAGTGACATTAATTTTTATAGCATTGAAAGAATTTTGTTGTAATATATTTAAGCTCAACCATTTCGCACTTTAAATATTTTATCACTTAAAAATATATTATATGAATAAATAAATATACAAACATTTTAATATTATTACTAAAAATGAAAAAACACAATACAAAATATTCAGAATTGGTAATTAACACAATAGCAAAATAAATTTAAATTATCCTTTGTAACTAATTAAAAATGATATCTTTTGAATAGTAAATACAACTCCTTAGTATTTGCTATTCAAAAGATATTTTTAATTAATAAGAGACAGAATTGAATAAAACAAGATCCATAAATTGTATTTGAAAAGCTGGTCCAGACACTGATGAATTTAACATTTATTTCAGTAAATTCTTTGTCATTCAGCAAAAAGTCATTAATTTGTATTAGCTTTCCATTAAAAAAAAACAAAAAAAAAACAGAAAAAAATTTCATGCTCCCAAATAACTGAATTATCCCTCCTTCATATCCCCACCTTTCTTAGTCTATTATGATAGTAACCTTGGATCAATTAAATTTGCCAGAAAAAATAATTATATTTCTTCTCTTTTTTCCATTTTGAAGTAGGACAGTTCCATTAAAAAAAAAAAAAAAAAAAAAAGTCCCCTATCCCAATGAAAAATTCATAAACAGACTATTTAGTAAACAAACCAAAACCTGTTTACATATCTGCAACCCAGGCATAATAGCTTGCACAAACAATTTGCTTTTAATATGACCTGTTCTCAACAATCACAAGTGGATAAGAAAAATTCAAGATTCTTGGAACAACTGAATGAACAAGTTAATAACAGTAATATTGCTTAACCTGTCAATATGTACATGATGCAGCAAAAATATCTCCCACATAGCTAGATGAAGACACCATTGCCATTAATGTCTTACCAATGTGGGAGTTATTTCTGTCAAGACTACAGTATGCATATACTTCACATAGAAAATATATATCTCCACAGACATAACAGTCTCACAGCTCATCAGTGTGGCTATATGTTCGGTTGCCTCTAGCTAGGATCAAAACCCGGCTGAAATGGCATCAGTCAGAGATTCTACCCCTAAGCCATTGGCGCACAGCAGGGATGAAAGTGAATTTAAGCGTATTTATTTTTAGATAAACAGTGACTGAGAGAACCGAATTCATTTTACCGAAGAGTCTTGCATTATTAGCAGTAATAGTCACTGTTTACAAACTATATATGAATATTTATTTATTTATTTATTTATGAAGGATTTACAAAGTTGAAAAATCTTTCATGACTATTCTTAAAATTATTTTTCACAAGACTTATTTCTGGTTCTTAATTATTAATACATCTTGCTATCAAAAGTTTGTTGGTGAGTTTTACATGTAAGATTTTTTTTTTTTTTAAATTTAATGAAACAGTTCAAATGAAAATTAAAATATAATTGACCACAATGAAAAACATTACAACTCAAAAATAGTCACAGAATATGTTGCCTAATGATAATGCATTTGTTTAGGCATGTTCTAAGTTAAATATTAATTTTTTTTTAATAAATTAGTATTTTGTTTGTAGGGGGCATTGTGATGCAATGAATATTGGCTCAGAATGAAAAATCGAGGAACAGAGTTCAAATTCCAGTCAGTTTCATTACATTCACTTACGCGCAAATACCTCCAGGAAAGCTATGAATCTATTTGTTCTCCCACCAACTATGGTTTGAATAGCAGGACAAACAAGGTTCTATAGCCTTGGTTGGCAGCCAGTCTACTACAGAAAGAAACAGCAACCTACTGTGAGAAAATTTTCTGCTTAGTCAGTTATGAATCAAAAGAGATAATCAACCAACCATGTATCACATATGGCATTTAATTGACTATTTTCTTTAAAATTTTTAACTTTCTAGTTAATACTAAAAAATACCAAAAATATTTCTATGAAAACTTGGAACTATTTGAGAAAATAATTACAAATTAAAAATCCTTCTGCATGTTTGTACTTTTTTTTCATACTCTGGTTAATAAATGACCTTGTACAATTTGGGACATTATTAAAATCCACTTTGTTGTTAGCTTCACAGTTAAAGGATTAAATGACAAAGAGAATGGATTCAAAGGTAAATGTCAGAGAGAGATCAAACTGCACATTTTCCAAGCCTGATTTAAATAGAATAAGATTTTGAGTTAATAGTTACCAAATGGTATATGGTTTGGGACCAAGGTCATCAACTTAAAAATCAGCTCAAATGAATGTGGTTATGGTCTTCAAACAAGCACAAACTAATCAGATATGAGGATTAACTTCATAAGCAATTACATGCATTTACAAGCAGAAAGTGAGTGACGTAGAGAGTAGATAATGAGGCTCAGTACTCAAAACAATTTTAATATTATATTTACATTCTACATCATGAAATCTTTCATTTCAGTAATTTAAGATGTCTTTAAAGTTTCAAATGATTATAAAATGAGAAAGAAACAAACATTCTGTGAAGGTTGCATTTGATGAAAAATAGCATTTTATAATCTGTCATATTTAGAAAAATCCAAACTAAACATGCTTTACAACAAAAGGAAATTAAGTTACATAAGCCTACAGTTTCTATTGACCCTCTAAAATATTTAACAACACATTACTCTGAATCATAAAAACTCTGGCAACTTTATTATCCAATCAACGAAGTAATCAACATGCAATTTGTCCAATTTTGAAAAAGTATATTGTTGGTCAATCCAAACACTCTCAAAACTAGGAATTACACTTTTAACTATGAAATATATACTCATACAATTTCCCAATGAAGGAAAGGAAACCACTGTCTCATTTTGGTGAGCCTGAACCCTGAGAAAACTCTTTAGGTGATGAAGCTAGAAATTGACTAAAACCTTGTTAAGAGACAGAAGTGAAAGTATGTCCAAATCAATTCAAGAATATCAATACAGTAAATTCATAACATGGATTATTATAGTGTAGTAATTGAACAAAAAAAAAAGCTACTTTTTAAACAAGCCAACATTCAAAAAAAGAAAGTAATGTGCATTTGAAATTACGGACAGGCCTACAGAATGTTTATATACTTTAGTTTCTTTTTTTTTTCTTTTTTTTTTTTAGATGACTCACATTTTTGAACAGCAAATGAGTACAGTCATGAAGAGTGGATTACCAAGAATTTTGTTTGAACTCCCTACAACCCACAATCAGATATGGCAGATTTCTGATTGTGCACAAAGAGCAATTTGAAGCACTGATTGTTCAAAGCTTCCGAGTTGCATGAAAAATGTCAAGTCACACAATGTTATTCTGCAAGTAGAAATTCTTACTATAAAAGGCAGTTGAAAACCTCTCCCTTTCCATTAAGTATGGAACTCAGTGTCATACAGGAGAAAAATATTCAAGAATGGTCCATCCAAGGACTCATAAAAAAATCATTTAATAAGCTAAGCTGACATCATTAATTTCTTTTGCCTCAAGTTCGGAATTAATACACACAAAGGATAAGTATGCTACAGTAAATTAATATGGCCACCGTTACTAAGGCAAATATACAATCCTGATAATCATTGAATCACTCAGTTTCCGCAAAATTTACCAAATTGAACAGCATCCCATAAAGTCTTTGTTAGAGAATTTCTTACTTATTATATAGTGTTTTATACAATTTTCAAAGCTGTTCTTAAGTGGGTTAGTGTCCAGTGATTAGCTAGTTCAGGGCATGATTTCAAAGTCATTTTCTATCAAATAGACTTTGACAGCTCCAACTGATTTTCAAAGAGTCCTGGTATTTAATTTTCACATCCAATTAGCTGTGGAAATCCCTACTCCAATATTATTTGTTTAAGAAAACACTTATAAACTTAAATTTATATCACACAAATAAATTTTTAAAAAATCAGAAAAAAATTAAAAAAAAAAAAAAAAAAAAATTAAGACAGAAAAATCATTAAAGGCCTGACAGTGGTTTTTTGTGCCCAACATCAGGAAACGGAAGTAGCCGCCACTTGAGCACAGTGACATTTTCACTTTTCATTCAAAGGTAGGTGCATTTTAATAGTTTAGAATACTTCTCAAAATACAGAACAGTTGCTAAGCAAACTTTTATTAAACTATTCTAAAACAGACTAATAACTATATTTCAGCTACAACTGAATTGTACTTGAAATTTTCACTTGGATCAATTTCAAGATCAAATCTGAAGTTAAATATTAGTTAATCTTGGAAGATATTTACCTGATCACAGATAAGGTCCCATTTCTTTTCATCATCATAACCTTTGAGTACTTTGGCTTTGTCAGGAGGTAAGTCCATCGAAGCCTGGAAAAGAGAAAAGAAAAAATATTTACAATCAACATTTGAATAAACACAAAGTGAAAATATATTTTTTAAAATTCTTCCCAGCCATTTCAATTATAAAATCTAAATGCAAAATTATAGATTGTTAAAAATGTTCTATGGAACAGATTAATTTTTATGATTTTTTTTTCTTTACGGGAAGAGAAATCACATATTTGAAAACAAGTAAAAGAAATACTTTTATTTTCTAACAATTACTAGTTTGGATTAAAACAAAAAATTCAAATGAAAGTTTTCAATAACTATTGAATAAGTAAATAAATAAAATTTAAAGAACCAAGAAAAACATTAAGCATAAGTAAAAGTAATTGCCAAGTAGCCATCAAAGGAACATTATCTTCTGTGAAAGTAATCAACTTTGAATACTTTCACTTACGAAGTTACAAAACTGGTAATTACTATAATTATAAATATTATATGTACATATAAATTATGAATGAAAAATATATTTTTAATAATAAAGAAAAAGTTAAATTTATTGTAAGAAGATCTTGAAAAGAAATACAAAGAAAACAAACTGCAAAGTAAACTCAAATGATTCAAGTCATACTTTAACTAAGAACCACTAAACCACCTGCACATCCATGTTAATACATTATTTAAAAAAATAAAATACTCCCAAAATTTTTTTTTTTTTTTTTTTTTTTTAACAATGAGGTTCACTCTGTACAAGGTCCAATAGCCACACATGGTAGAGGGTTACAGTGTAAGAGGTAATGGACACAGTTTATGAGGATATGTTGGGAAGACAACAATTGACCCTTGATTTGAACAGGTTATGATTGTAGTGATTGGGGAAGCAGCCTCTTTGGAGTCAGTTCCACAAAGTAGCAGTTCAATATAAGCAATTTGATAATTTATATTGGAATGTTTTAGATGAATCATCATCAGTATTATTATGATGATATGCCTTTCTGTTTGAACCAGCATGCTCATCTTGATTGTTCTCATGACATTTTTGGCTGTTGTACTCTTCAGCCTTCTTCAGGTGTCTGTCAAATGTGGTAACCTCCTCAGAATTTTGAATCAGATCAATAGAACAGCAAAACAATTAGAGAGAATTAATTAATAAGAGATATCCTTTAAGCATGGTAAGTGGAACAAGAACACTACCTCATAAATAAAAGGTTTGGTCTAAAATTCTGAGAAGATCAAACAGTATGGTAGACACCTGAGGAAGGCAGGAAAGTATAACAGCCAAAACTGAGTATAACAACAACAAAGATGCTGGTCTGAATAGAAAGCCATGTAATATATAAATTAAATAAAAATCATAGATAATGCAAACAAAAAATATTTTAAATATAAAAATCAGATAGTAAATTCTAAAGTAGTAATGGATTTTTTATTTATCAATATTACAGATCTTAACTCTTTAAAATGTTTAGTAGATATCCATATTTGAATAGAAGCTCTGTTAATTTATTAAATGGTATATTTATTTTTGTCTACCAGCCTGAATATTCAAGAAATCTTATTAAAGAAAAACATGTGCTCTCCAGCAGGATTTGCAGGATAAACCACACATTAGAGCCAACGTGCTTTAGACTGACTCAGCCACAGGATGCTGCTTCGAATAAAATTTCTCAAACGTTCAGGTTGGCAGACAAAAATAAACAGTGTCTATTCAAATATGGGTATCCACTAAAAATAACATTTTAAAGTGATAAACAGAATCATATAGAACGAGAAGCAAAATCTTTGTCACTGTACCTCTGCACATCAAGAGTTAAAAAAAAAAAAAAAAAAAAAAAAAAGGGAGTTTTGTTTCAGTCAGTTAAGTGCCATACATGATGCAGACTAAGGCAATCCTGTCTCTTTCGATTCATGACTGACGAGGCAGAGATTTTTCCCACAGATAGTTGCTGTTTCTTTCTGCAGTAGACTGGCTACCAACTAAAGCTATAGGACCCAATATGTCCTGCTATTCAACCCATAACTGGGGAGAGAAGGAGAAGAGATGGATTCATACCTTTCCCAAGTATATTTGCACATAAGTAAATGTAACAAACCTGACTGGAAATCAAACTCAGATTTCTGATTCCGAGCCAATATCCATTACATCACAATGCACATCCATCCATTCAATATATACATAGTTGAATTACAGACCTTGTTATCTTTCATGTTAAAAAAAGATCCACTAAGAGAAGACATTTGTAACAAAATGAGGCTTTTGTATACAGATATTCTACCAGACACTAACATCACTAATAGTTTAAAATTTACTTTATCAGATGGATAGAAAGTGAAATATTTCAAACTAGACTAATTTATGAAGAGTAACAAAAAATGATAAAAACTGATTCTTATCAATTAGTTGCAGGAGAATTTCTTAATCATTTGAAGACCGTTTCAGAAACTAGAATTTATATTAAAAATGTGTTCATAGTAAACTCAATTTAATTTTCCCCAAAAGTCTAATTCCTGTCTCAAGGGATAGTGTGGCACCTTTATATTCTATGTTATAAGTGCATGGAACATTGTACATACAATTTGTGGTCATTAGAGGCAGAGTTGTCTAGTAAAGTAATATTTCTGAAGAGCGTTCTAATATTGTACAACACAAATTCTGTAGTTTTTAACTCACTCTCTCTGAAGCAAACCTCTGATATACCTGAAATACTATCCTGAAGAGAAAGTGACACTATAACATTGAAGTCGTCATAATTGACAAAGAATCCCAGAAAAAAAAAAAAAAAAAAAAAAAATCACACAAGTAAGGCAAAAGTGGAAATTGATGCCAAATAAGAGAATCAATAATGGCAAAGATTAACTACACTACACTTAACTATTTATAATTAGACCAACAATAATTGTAGAATGAGGACTTGAAGTTACAACAAAAAGCAACAGAAAGGTGAAAGAAATAGTAATGAAAAGTTAATTGAAAACATTTCATATAAAAATAAACTTCAAAGAATATTATCATTAATAGGACATTAATCATACACAGACTGTGCAAATGTTTTACATTTAATACCAATTTTTATACATTAGACTAAATTAAAAACCAGGCTATGGATAAAAATACATATTTCTTTTAAATATTTTTTTCAGATGTCCAGAGAAAGATCTATTTTTTTTTTTTTTTTTTTTAATGTTCACCCAATACAAGAGCCACTCAAGATAAAGTGTTACTGAATAAAGTTGTTGTACAAGTGTAAGAGTAGGAGGAGGTAAGACATGCAGTTTATGAGGATATGTAAGAAAGATAATGGTTAACCCTGAACTTGAAGAGATTAAGATTGTATTGATCAGAAAAGCAACCTCTCTGGAGTTTGTTCCACAAGCAGTGAATACTGAGAAGAAATTGTCTGAGTGATACTTCCTTCTTACTAATGAAATACGAAGGGAATGGAGATAATTCATTCCAATGTACATAGCACATGTCTGCAAAATTAAATGAGGTAACTGGATTAGAAACAAATTTCTATTAATTTCTGCTACACCTTTGGTTCAAATGTTATAAAGACACTAGTGCACACATTTTATTTCAGGTAAAGACCAAATTACAATACCCATTTTATTTAAAAATAGGTAAGTTTGTACGAATGGCAATTTAGTTGGCATAGCTAAGAAAAAGTTTGTAAATTCTTACAAAATCTCATGTTTATGCATTTATTTGGGAGATTGTGTGTGTGTGTGTATATATATATATATATATATATATATATATATATATATATATAAATAAATAAAAAACTGTCTAGTATAATAGACAAATTGTAATTGCATACAAAGCCGTTTTCTCAAAAACATTTTTATTGCATAAAATTGCTATAGCATATGGTAAATAGGTACATAACAAAAATAGGTTACATAATTACTGCCTAATAATTAAACACTGACCAATTTGTTTTATTTCATTTCAACCATTGATGAAAAACAAAAAAGTAAAAGTTCTTGCAGCTATGGGATTGTTTTTTTAAAAACTAAAATTAAATCCCAACCAGCTGCAAGAAACTGAATTTGGAGATTTTTCCTGCATAAAATATTTTCCTAATTAAAATGGCTCTGGTTAATTTTATTAAAAATGAAAATGCCAGAAATTGACAATCAAAAATATATGTGTTTTAAATAACAATAAAATTGCTCTAGCTTTGAAAACTATGCCATAATCTGAGATTATGAGAAAAACAGAGAGAGAAACATCATAGTTCTATAATTAAAGTGGATTTTTATTACTTTATGTAGCTATTATTTGCCGCTATGAATAAGATAATTCATCTACCAATAGTGTTTGGCCTTACAATGAAAAAAATACTTGGTAGCAAACAGGTTAATATATAGAAAAATAAACCTGATCAAAACTTAAGCTAAAACAATATACTGTGAGGGAAAAAAAACAAAAAAAAACAATGAAGTAAGCTAACCTTACCTAATGTTATAATTCCTATAAATTAAAAAAAAAAAAAAAAAAAAATCTGAAGGAAATTAAGAATAAATCAAACTATTAAAAAAAAAAAAAAAAAAAAAAGGAAGACATCCCAAATACTAGTAAAATATTTCAATAATATTGTTAACTCTTTTCTTGAAGACATTATACAGGTAATGAAATTATCTATGCTGTGAAAATTTATTCAGCTATTAGTTGGGACACCTCTAAATATTAGCATCCTGCCAGACTATGTAAAGCTACAAAATGTAAAGCTCCTCTTCTACAGAAATCAATAAAATCCTGAACACTCAGTCATCTGTCACAGAAAAGAATCTGACTACCATGTCTGGCAGAATTAAATAAAGAGATGGATCCTTTCAGAGAAATTCTTTAATTGCAGTTAAAAGATTACACAATTCTTTTATTTCACAAATTTAATGAAAAGGAGAGGTTCCTCAGGAGAATGCACTTTTTAATGCAGAGATGATTAGAATTACTATATTTTTTTTTTTAATTATAAATACAAGTAGTGGGTGCCTGCATAGGGAATGAGAAATATTAATGTAGTCAACTGTATCCC